GATCTTGAATGGCAAGCCCATTTTCAACACCTTTTGGTACAGAATTCTAAAATATCATTTCAGTAGTGACTTCCAAGGAGAGAAGACAATACTAACATTTTTAAATGTTGAGCCTCATAGAGAAACCAGGAAGTCATCCTCAGTATTAGCTTCTCGTGAAATCCCCCCCAGCACCAAAACATTTGACCTTTTTCCCCTTGAACTTTGCCCAACCTGATAAGCTTCTGATAGCAAAAACTGATTTTTAACCTCATATTTTCCCTCAGTTCTACCCAACTCTTACTGTGGGATACTAAGTCATTATCTTTTCAAGGAGGCACCTTCTAAATTATGGAAATCTGCATGATGTAAAACAGCAGTGAAGGCAAGGGTGGGAAACTGTTTACTTAGCCAACATCTACTGTGGACGTGTTAGTCTGCAACAATGTAGAGATGTCAGTTCTGGCGGCATTTCTACCATTTACTATATGAACCTGCGCAAGTTGGATACACTGTGTTGAGATTTGGTTTATTCATCTAAAATGATCTGCATGATCCACCTCATGGGTTTGTACCGAAGCTCAAAGCTGTCACAAGGGTATTGAAATGTTAAAACACTAAAATTTTAAAAATTACTGAAATTGTAATAAACAGTATAATAACAGTAAGCAGTATACATTCGAGGTGTTTAAACTATTTTCTATTGAAAGCTGTGTTTCACTAAAAGACTGAGAAATAAGATCGTTTCAGTTGTTCCCACCACGAAGGGATCCCTTTCAGATGCCATTTGGCTCAAAATATGAAAACTCTGGAAAACATTCAGAATCATCACTTATCTCCATGGGTGAGTGCTCCCTAGCAGTTATCATGCCTGCCGCAGAAGCAAAGCCATTTTCCATGATTGCCTTTTGTGTCTGTTACTTGGATCCCAAATACCTTTTAGGTAAAATTTTCTTCTGTGGTTACAGATTACATTTAATTGTGAGAATATCAAAAACCGATTTCCAATATGACTTAAGAATGCCTAAGCATATTCATCAAAATCCATGATGCTTCCAGAAGCATTTTGGAGTAAGTTAGACCCCTTAGTATGTTTGCTTTGCACTGTCTCTTAAATTCAGGCTTAGTTGGTTTAAAATTTTTTTAATGATAACCAAAAGTCATTCTCTCCCAGAGTTTTCCTCTCAATGTGTTTTAAAGATTGAAAATCAAGATTTTCATAAATTCAAAAAATGAAGTCCTACCATTCATCATTTAAAAAAAAAAAAAACAACAAAACTTCAAAAACTCACAGTCTGATTCCAGCCCCTTGGATAAAGGTCCCTAATCACAGCATCCTTCCAGGTGGTCAGGAAGTCCCTGTTCAAACAGTCCCACGGGCTGAACACATGGAATTCTGTAAGGGTGCCTGCTCCACTATTGGACAATATTTATACTTCATTGTTGTATTCAGTCAAAACCCACTGCAAATTTTGCCTATTGCTTCTAGTTCCATCCTTGAGAAATAGCATGAGTTTTAGCTCTCATTTGAGTTGTATTTCTGTCTCATCTTAAAGTCTTGCTCGCAAATACCTTTTGAAGAACAGGACCAAGACTCTTAGGAAAAGGAAATGCAAAATATCACTTCTTTCATATTCATATTCTCATTTCATATATCATAGAGCCCAAACAGTGTTGGCTGAAGAGTGACGGGCATGATAAAGGCCTGATGGATTCCCCAGTGCACGCTTCCCTGGTACCATGTGCATTTCCCCTAGGTTGCCAGCTCTGTGAAGTCAAGAGTTTTGGCTCTTGCATTCATTCTTAGATCCTTAGCATGTTGCCAGCATCAGAGTAAGGGATAAATTTTTTTAATATAAATGATTAAATATATGAATGTATGCTTGACTCATGAACATATGATTGCATGCAGAATGCCTGAATACATATATAGACTCTGGAATCTGTCTACTATGAGGATGCCATTCAATATTCAAATCTCTACTTCAAACGACAATGCTTCAACAACCTAAGAATTATTTCTTCTGCTTTCTTTTTGGGACCAGGTCAGTGCTATGTGTCCTGGGAGAGCAGGTTTTCCAAGGGCACTCCTCCTTGCTTAGTTCTTATTTTTAGACTTCTCAGTAAACTGTGGGGAGACAGCCCAAAATCCATGGATGGCCACTAGGGGTATAACACGTATCTAATCCAGTCATCTAGGTGACTTAGGGGAGTACATGGTTTACGTCACCGGATGTGGAGGAAGCTGCCATGATTGTGGACACCCACGGTGGAACTGAGACAGATGTGTGCTAAACCTCTATGGCAGATGGCTTCTCAGAATAAGGCATGTTGTAACTCTCTAAGATGATCAAAGTCAGTGGACATCTATTTGTCCTTCAGGCAAAATGGATACTTCTCTCAGAGGGCAATTTCATTCTGATACGTTCTGAGCAGAATACCTGGGGAAGATTTGGGTGTCTGTATGACAAAATGACTGAAGGTGGTGGCTGAAAGTCCAGGAGGACTCTTGTGATGGTCAGAAACTGGAGGGACTAGAGATGAGTCAAGACCAGGACACAGAAAGGGACGGGGCCAAAGTCCATCTGGGAGACCAGACAGAGAAAAAAACTACAGCAATCAGCTGAACACGGAATTCAGAGAATGAGAAAGTAGACAGATTCAGAGAAGGTTCTAGTGAGACCTGGGCAGAAATGAGTTTATACAAATAAATGTTAAAAATCAGTTAGAAAAGTCTCTCCTTTAATAGATGTTCTACTTTTTTCTTACCTAAACTGAAAATAATCCATTTAAGTAGAGCAATTCGTTTTATTTGATGGCTATGATGCGTCATTTCAACAATGATCTATCTTATTTTTAAACAGCAAAATTGAATAAAAGATGGTGCTGTTTTCAGTGATTTTCATGAGCTACTCCTATTGGAAGGAAGCCAAGCTCCTCAGACCCCAGCCCGTACCCAAGTTCCTACACCTTCCTGGCAGTAGCTTGCCCTCATTAAATATCATTAGGCAATGTATGGAGTGTTAGCCCTGCAAACTCAGCCTTGTAAAGTGGAATGAGCATGACAGAGAAAGAAACTCTCCATCTGTGATCCAAAAATAGCACAGACAAGTCTCTGGGCTCAGGTAGGTCTCATGCTTCATGGAAGGTAACATAAAAAATTATAAGACCTCTTGGTCATGGATTTTATGACACAGGCAATAGCAAACACCATGTGTAATTGGAGTGGCTGCAATAAGGGAACTGAACTTAGCAGCAGTAAAAACAACAAAGAATAAATGAAAAATTCCTGTTAGCCTGTCTTTGCCTGTTGGTGTTAACTATACACAGAGAGATGATTAGCATGCCTCTAAAATGTTTTGTCTACTGGAAACCTATGCAATAACGTATGTATATATATTATATATTTGTATATTATGTATACAAATAAATACATTTCTATATGTGTGTGGGGGTGCTGTGTGCACAGAGTCTTTCTGACATAACATACAAGCAACAAAGCTGATCAGTGTTAACACTGTTTATCTCTGGGGTGTGGGACTCAGGTCTCTACACAAGCACAGAGGAACATCTTGACCTTGCCTGTGATTCTCATCTGTGCTATTAGAACTTTTTTTTTTTTTAATAAAAAGCATGTTCTATCTTTATGATAAAAAATCTAAATATGTGAAATAAAATTGACATGTAAAAAATTAAAACTGCTGCCCCACATATTATAAAACATGGATATTACGAGAAGTCTAGGAAATACATTTCAGAAATCCTTTAGGCAAAGAAATGGTTACGAGGTCCAAATGCAAACTGCCTGTTGAGTATCTCCCAGTGCAAACACATCTGCCTAATTGCTAAGGGCAGCTACTACGATGGGCTAGGGGGGCTGTCACTAATGTCATGGCTGTGTACTTGCCAGCTAAATTCTCTTCTTCAGAAATTGCATGGGTTTTAGGTTATAGCCTCCATAGAGGTAACCAGAACTCTCAAAGTGAGATTTGCGGCCATGGTATTTACTTCCTTCTTGGCTTCTGGCTTTTTAAACAGTCCTCGAATGTGATAAAGCACAGCCTAAGTAGGTGAAGCTGGGTTCTAAACTGGGTTCTATTCCATTAAATGTGTACTCCTGGAATATAGGGCTCTGAAAATGATTACCTTTAAGGTTCTCTCATGTGGTCTTGTAATAACTCTCCATTTCTCATACCCCTCCCCGTCAACCAAACCCACAAATGGAATCCCAGAGCAGACAGCACCAGCCCATGAGGGGCTCTTCTGAGCCAAACACAGAGGATTGGCAGTTAAGCCAGCCATGCTCCAGTACTGTCCCGGGAGGTTTTGTAGAAAATGGTATTTCTGTGACTATACAGTTTCATGTCTTTTAAATTAAACGTTTGTGGGTTTAAAGATCCAGACAGGGCCAGACCGTTGGCTTCTACCCTTTCTGATGGCCCATTAAAGGGGAGACTCTATGCTTGAGCTGAGCTGGAAACTCTTAGAGCATATGGCCTCAGTTCTTTCTGAAGGCCAGGACTGTCCTACACAGTGATCAATTTTAAAAAATGCTACAGGAGGTAGGTTTAATATTGAATCCATTAAATATGTAACCGTTCCGTTCATTTTTGATGTCCTTTCCTCGGAAACCCCAAGTCCTGAGGGTGTTTGCTTTTTCAAAGAGATATTTGCTTGGTTGTACATGGTTTCCCATCCATAATGTAGAACTTTTTTTTTCTTTTTTTTTGGCTTGGAATGATTTCCAAATGTACCAGAACCCCTACAGTAGTCATTACCTTATCTATTTTCATACCAGGAATTTACTTGTGACTTCAGTTGGACCTATTTAAATTGGCCTGTAGCCATCTATACTCTAAGTTTTCTCTGGGCTGCTTTGAAGCATCACAAAGAAATATGAGATGGTAGTTGGTGAAAATAGTCCTTTATCCCAGAAATGGCAGCTGGGTAACTGACTGTGTGGCCAACTGTTTGGCTTAATCTAGGGAATGGAAGGCACCATTCAAAGCCAGATTCCAGTCTGTTTTAAGGATTATATTTCTGTCATCACAACATCTCTTTGACAGTCCCACCAACTGAAAGACTCCCAGATGAAGCCCAGTGATTAAATTTTCCTGGAGCCTATTTTTTTCCAGTTTCTGGAAACAATCTATTGCCGTCCTCCTTACCTCCCCATAAAACCCAACAGATAATTCCATTTCTAAGACTGATAGATGGAAATGAATTACTCATAACCAACCTATTCTCCCCCCGCTGGAAATAACACCAATAATTTGATTTTGAAAAGGCTAGGGAGGTGCTTCATCCCCACCCACAGAGAAGCTATTCCTCCTTAATACAGTACTCATATCTGTCCTCTCAAAATGATAGGTGACCAAAATGCAATTCAGGTAAGCAGTGTGTCACCACTGGACCTTTAAAGTAAATGCAGAAAGAAATACGATCATTTATGTGTTCACATGCAGAGACACCAGGGAAGCACTTTGCTTGTGTCTAAGAGCAAAATGGAAGAAAGCTCAGAAGACCTCAGCTTTAGTCTGAAACAACTTTGGATCACCCACTTGTGTTTCTGACTCCTACCCACGTCAAGTAGACCTCTTCACTGAAAGTTAGGAGCCTCTTCCTCCTGCTCTTTTAGTTATCACAGAGTCCCTACTAGAGGGACCTGTAAGTACCAACTGATCCGTGGCAGGATTCGAAGTTGTAATTCCAACGCCAGAGACACATTTCTGGCTCAGCTCCCACAGTGGTTTTGTACTAAGAATTTCCTGGTAGGGGGAAACGGAGAAAAGATTAGACAACCCCGTACGTAAGAAATGGGGTTACAGTGCTATCAGGTACAATCTTGGGACCTGACAAGTAAAAGGTGAGGTGTCCATCGGGAAGATCCAGCCGTCCTGGAAATCCAGCAGTGGAACTCATAAAACAAGGCTTTGTCCTTGGGACAAGGCTTACTCGGGGTAATGAAAACCAAACACTTAGAAGGAAAACCTAAAATGGGCCCCCTCTCACCACTACACCCAAGAGTCTCTACTTATTAGCCTCTGTGCAACATGCCCGCCAACTGTTTTCTTGCTTAAGTGAGTTATTTTGACATATGTTGCTACTTTTGCATTGGCTGTTTTATTTCAAGTCAGTTAGCCTGCTTTCTATTATCACTTGAGAAAGTCTGGAAGGGAACGCAGTCACAGTGCTCCATTTCCTGGAACCACAGTCCCCACACGTGGTTTTCTGCTCAGCACCTTCAACTGCACTTAAAATCCAGCGGTTCCACCAAACCAGCCGAGGGCCTTCGTTTAATCCTGTGTTGGTCTCTTATCGTCTACATCGCAGCAAAAGGCAAAGATGGCTACACGTAGGCAGTATGGGGCTGTGCAAACAGCCCAAGCTGAACCAGTCCTTCATGGCTATCAGCAACAGCCCTGCCCCCAGGGCCGGGCCCTGGGTCCCCTCCCATGCCACCTCACCATACCTCAGAGGTACAGCACACAAGTTGACATTATCCATGTGGCACGTCCCAGCTCCTACAGAATGACAAGGGATGAGGGGGGAGGGCAGGGGAGACATGCAAACAGTCACTAATAGTGTCGGTATATTTCATCTTGGAAACAGAAGCAGCTTTACAGTTGTGTTTCTGCAGGACATCCAGAGGGTTTTCAGAGACCTCCAGCGTGTCTTGTGGTCTTCAAAGGCTGAATGTAGACAGAGCAAATTGTATTTACTTATTTTTTTTTTTTTTGAATGATGGGTAGTTGCAGTAGAATTGTGTGGTACAGAGGAATCGTGAATGCATAGGGGGAGGAGGGAGCAGTGCCATTTGTATGAACATCCTCTGAATCTCGAAAATAAATTATACAGGTGAACACAGAAGTTCATGCTACTTGCTGGAAGCAATAAGGATCAAATTTTGTGGAATGTGTATTCCACAAATCTCCGGGTACCCTGTCTCTTCCTCAGTGGGCTATCGTGTTCTGTTGGACATCCTGGTAGCCCTTAATAACTGGTGGCATGGTCTCAGATAGATTCTTGCAGAGAGAGACAGATTTGTGGATTCCATCAGCTTCTTCCAGGGGAGCTGCCCGATCGCCGGGAGGGCACAGGTGATACACTTGCTCAGGTTGTCTTTGCAATCTACCAGGGTCAAACAGCAGTTTCCAGGTCCTCGTGGCCAATGATCTTATAGTTCTGGCGGCTTTCTAGGTATGCAGCCAAATCTGGGTCTCCAGCCTGCTGTGCTCTGTCTTGAGGTGTCTTCCCCTAAAGGTGACAGTGGGAAGGAAGGAGACACAAATACATGGAATGAGATTTATTTTTTTTAAATCATGGAGGTATTCAAAGATTACTCACGAAAGGATTTTTCCATGCTTAGAGTAGACAAGACGCTTTCAAATCTATTGTCACATTAAACCCATGAGGTAGGTAAGTTCGAGAGAAAGACACGATCACTTGACAGGTGGGGCTGAGGAAAAGGGGGTTCAGAGTAACAGCTGAGGAAAAGGGGGTTCAGAGTACCAACAGGAAAGAGTGCGGCACGGTGAGTTTGGGAATCCCAATTCTTTCTGGGAGAAGGGGGATAGAAATCACTGAAGAGAAAAGTAGGAAGTAGGCTTTCGGATGCCCAATGGCAGACTCTTCCTATTACACTAAACACTAAACTCTGGGAAGCAGCAAGCAGAAAATGAGAGGACCAGATGGTTGTAAATGATCTAAAGATGTTTCTTTGCTGGTTTCAAAGTCTTCAGTTAAGATCTCCCAATTCAGAACTATCTCAGCTCTCCAAAAAGTGAGTTAATTTCTGACTACAAAAGTGATGGATGTTGATTAAACTTGGAAAAGCACAGAAGTGTAAGGAAGAAAATAAAAATCACCAATAAGTCCTATACTACACTAAGATAACTGCTGTTAACCTTCCACCGAGTAGCTATTTTGTCTTTTTCTATGGCTCTACACATAACAATTTTTCTAAATAGAAAACCATACTACGGGGCACCTGGGTAGCTCAGTCGGTTAGATGTCTGACTTCTGATTTCAGCTCAGGTCATGATCTCAGGGTCATGAGATCGAGTCCCGTGTTGGGCTACATGATGAGTGTGGAGTCTGCTTAAGATTCTCTTTCCTTCTCCCTCTGCCCCTCCCCCTGTTTGCATTCTCTCTCTCTCTCTCAAAAAAAAAAAAAAAAGTCTAAAAAAACCCCATACTCTGTTTACATACTATTATATAACACACTTTTTCACTTAACATATCAAACCTTTATGTCATTCAATGTTCTTCTACATCATCTTAAAGGATTGTATCATTTCTTGCAGCCTACTATAATGCCGTATGCATGTTTGTACATACACATGATAATTTTGGAATAAGGCCAACGAATAGAATTCAGTAGTAGAAGGAAGGAAGGTCTCCATTCTTTTGGATGCATATAGATATTACATAACGCTCCTTGAAACTTCTAATTTTTGTTCAGTGATAATGGCTTTATCTATTTAAAAAGTAATATAAGGGGCGCCTGGGTGGCTCAGTCGATTAAGCGGCTGTCTTCGGCTCAGGTCATGATCCCAGGGTCCTGGGATCAAGCTCCACATCGAGCCCCACATCGGGCTCCTTGCTCGGTGGGGAGCCTGCTTCTCCCTCTCCCACTCCCCCTGCTTGTGTTCCCTCTCTTGCTGTGTCTCTCTCTGTCAAATAAATAAATAAAGTCTTTAAAAAATAAAAAAATAAAAAGTAATATTAAATTCAAAAAGATGGAGGCATGAACATTGTACCAAAGAAATAGCTCCATGTATAAATGCACGCGAGTATTATGAAAATTGCTGAAGGCTTCTCAGCCTGCATCTGAGTCACTGCAATGGAGAGTGTCAAGCTCAATTAAGCCTATAGCTTACAAGGGTATGTGGGTAGAGAATAAAAGGAAAGTAACAGTGGCTCTGAATTCTTTCTAAAATTTTACTTATTTAGCTGGGATTTAATATTGAACCACTACCTTAAAGTTCCTATAGTTTTTCCAACTTGTTTATAGTATTAGTAGATTATCTGATCTTCAATATTAATGAGGTTGGAATTACTAGCTTCCAAGTATTCAGAGAGGTGGATTGGAGTGGCCTTTGAGTTGATTTTTAAAGGAACTGTTCTCCATCAAGAGAAATTCTCAAGATACTGCTTCTCCCCCCACCCCCCCAAAAAATCTAGGAAAAGATCCAGTCATAATTATCATGTTCTGCTTTAACTTAGCATAAAATTACAAAATGGAAAAATTAACAGGTCTCCCAAAAGGATGAAGCATAGACTATTTCATACAGTAAGACCTCTAGAACACAATGTTGGGGGAACATAAGCATTCTATAATAGCATGAATAGTATGACTTCACCGACTTAAAAAAAAATGAGAGAGAAAAACAGGCACACCTACATGTGAAGAGAGATCGTTAAAATTTTAATAGTATATAGGTCTAGAGTGTGAGATTTCTAGTGATTTCTATCTTTTTAGATATTCTTTGCATTGCTTGAGTTTTCTATATAAGAATGCACTGTATTTATAATCATAAAATTAATGAAGCTGTGTTTTGAAAAAAAAGCACACACACACATAACACAAAAGAGGAAGCAATCTCAAGGCATGTTGAGCCCATTTATCTGATTCAGCAACTTAGAAAGAGAAAAAAGAGCATTCTGCTCAGGGGCCAGGTCTCCTGCCCAGTCTTTTGTTTGTCTCTTTCACGTTGCTCCTCCTTTTCTTTTGATTTCCTGAGGTGAGCGTGAGAGCAGTCTTTTGGGTAGTCAATAGGCAATTGCCACGCTGGAGTGTGAGTTGGCCCCAGGCAAGCCAAACCTACCTGAAATCGAGGCCTCCCCTCATCCTGCCCACAGGGTTTGTGTTCCTCCATCGGGTTACACGACAAAGAGTTTAAGCGCAAATATCATCTGGGAAGAATATCACACGGAGCACTTCTCTGCCACTTGAAATCCTCCTATACCCACTTAGCTAACAAGGTAACAGACCAGCCTAACATGTCTCACAGCCCTAGGGAGGAACACAGGTGGCCGGGTCCTCCCTCAGAGAGCAGGGATCCGACGGGCTGCAGGGGTGTGGAGATTCATGCAACCGGCTCAGAACTGGGGTCGAAGGAAAGAGGTCCACGCAGGAGATAAAGTTATTTTATGGCGCTCACTGCAGTTGGAGGAACCCCAGGGTGAAAACTGCACATAAGCAGTTGCTCGTCCCTTAAAGAAGTCTCATGGGGAATATGTCTGTGTTCCTTGGCTACATTCATCGGCCCCAAACTTAGGCTATTCAGTGCCTTAGCTTAATGAAACCCTCATCTCTATATTAAAATTCTTCTCTGCAACCCTCCACAGTTAAACGGTTTGTCCTTTCTTAGCATCTACCCAGGGTGGTTTCTCAGAGCTGCTCAGGCTCCCCTGTGGCACTGAGGTTCTGTATTAACAGTCCCCCCCCCCCCCCCCCCCCCCCCCCCCCCCGCCGCCCTTCCCTTCTCCTGGGCTGCAGTCCCCGGGCTGCACCACCGAGCTCCACCTCTTCCCTTGCTCCAGCTTTCAGCCCTTTCCTCGGTGCTCTCTGTAAATGAACAATTCACAGTGCAGCCTGATCTCAGGTCTCCTGAACAGAGTTTCTCCTGATGCCTGACCTCTACCTGTTGGCGTCTTTCCGGTCAAGGTCGGCAGGTAGGTCGCACTATCAGTTTCTGGCCTCACCGCCCTCTCCTTAAGACATTAACATACTTTAAAGCCAGATTGACATGCCTTTTGCTGCAGGGGAACCAACCACATTTCAAGTCACAATGCCGTAAGTACCACTGTAAGGCAAAGGCATGATCCAAACCATTCGAGAAAAACCCACTTCATGACTTTGTTGCCACGCTTCATCCCGTTGGATCCAGGGGGGTGTTCTGTCACCACAGGAGAACAACTCATCTGCTGCGCTGGGTGTCAAAAGAGCTGAATTTGGATTTGGGCTCAGCTCCTGGTCTAAGGGTACAGAGCTTTCTTTGGGTTTCAGTTTCCACATCGATGAGAGATTTCCCACCCTAACTTCAGGGGTTAACTTTCAGGGGAAAATATAAGAAAATAAGTAGGAAGAAACTTCTAAAAATAAAAAGCCAATGTATGGGCACCAGATTTAAGGCTGTTAACCTCTCCAAGTCCAGGCTGACCATCCTGACAGTGACGGCTAATCAATCACCCGGGCACCCATAAACCACAGATCGGGAAGCTACCCCAGATAAAGCCACTGAAGGAGAAATTCCAAAGCAGGCCAATGTCTTCTACGCCTCTCCTAGGGCTCTGAACCTCACCTCCCCACAACTTGGCTGCTGGCATTCGGCAGGACAACCCCAAAGTCCCAAGGCCAGCACATTCAGAGGTTTATAAAGTCCCATAGGCAAGCACACACCCTTCCCTTTGTGCTTATACATTTAAACTACAGTTGCTCTAAATGAAGCACTTTATTTTTTCCTCCTTTTTCCCCAAAGCCCCAGGCACTTCCATAAGCACAGAAAGGATGCCTTTGCTATGGGCACAAGTGAAGGCGATGGTGCCCGTGATCCTGCCCAGGGGGAGGATGTTTGCACTCACTCATCAAGTTACCTTGGAGTCCGTCTTTCTCAGAGATGCCCCCGCATCCACCAGAAGCTGGCACACGGCCCGGTTCCGCTGGCAGGCAGCCTTGTGCAGGGCGGTCTCACCCCTAAAGCAAAGAGGAAATGGGAAACCACCCATAAAGGGGTTGGGGGGGGCGGGAGTGGTGGTGGGGCTGGAGGCTGCAGGGAGGGGGTGAGGGTAGCTTCCTATCCCTGCTGCTGAGGTTCTGGGCTCATCCGCCTCCTTCGCGATCTGCAGCTGAGATCCGGGCACATTCGGGGGGGGGGGGGGGGCGGCGGATGAGGGGGTGTCTAAAAATGCCTTCAGTTAGTCATCAGCGAACCAGAACTCCAATCGCTTGTCTCAACAGCGTTAACTAGGCTGAGTGATTTTGTTTTCAACCACCGACGATGGATTTAGGTAACACTTCATGGCACTGTTCAACAAACTGATGTGTAGAGAGATGGGTCTGAGCACGGTGGAACGATTTTCTCTGTGGACACATGTGGGCAGAACGTAGGGGCACCGGATCAAGTACACACGGAGCAGGCATGGAAAAACCACAGGCCCCAAAGGCACCTCACACGGTTCTTGGCTGACCACCATCTGGCCCTCAGTGGAGTATCTCTGGGGGACTTGGTGTGGAAGGACCAGGTCAACATAAGCCGCCCTACCTGCTGATTTCATGCAAATGGCAGGTGGGAGGGTGCGGGCAGCCACAGAGGACATCTGGGAGAGCTGGGAACACAAGCTGTCCCCTGTTGGCCATAGGCCACTCAGTATAGAAGAAGGCAAAGCAAAGTAGCCATTCCTACCCCCTCTAATGGGCAGTCTAGGGAGGAGGAGGTCTCCATCCTGTGTCCAAAATTGAAAAGATGCTTAATGCCAAAGCGTATGGAAAATCAAATGCAGTTCTTAGAACAAATGGGTTAGTGACAACTTTGCCAATAGGATGTAATAGGATGTGGTATGTGGACAAACTCTCTGTCATGACAGTGTCTTCCCTGTCTAGTCATAACTATAGAACTCTACCCTTCCCGCTCAGCTTCCATTCTATTCATTTCTACTTTTCCTCCTCCAGACCTACTTAGTTACTCCCCATCCATCTTTATCTCTTTTCAAATGTCTTTGAAGTTTTATAGTGCTTCCTATATGGCTTTCAGGGTGCGATGGTTACCCTTTCTTTGTTCCTACTTGGGGAGTAGGAGCTATTTTGCTGCCCTAGGAATAAAAATGTTGAAAACAAACATTATCAGTTTGGGGACCACCCCAGAGAAGAAGACTTTCTCAACTGGAGTTTCTCTTCTGAACCACAGAACATAAAATGATTGGATTTACTATATTCTTAATTCTACAATGGTTGTATATACCTAGTTCCATTCCAGACCCGGTATAGAGGTTTCATTACTAACAAAGGATGCCGTAGGGTATTAGGACTTAATTTTCTCACAAACCCCAGTTGAGAAAGAGTAAATAAAAAGGGTAAATGTATTTATTTAGACTACTCAGTAGTCCAAGATGCATCAGTGCAAAACTACCTTGCCTCTAGGAAGCTCTAAATGATGAATAGCAATGACTGTGCATGCAAACATTATGAGTCTTGTCATCAATTTTTATTGGGTAATTTTTGATTTAGAAGATTAGCCCGGCACAGTTATAAATACAATTGAAAGTGAACTTCTTATCACTGACATTTAAATTCTCTGTTGTATGCTCTATAGGCTACGTTCTTCTCCCAGATATGTTCTAAAGAAAATAATCTAGACTATGTAATGAAAGGAAACACTCACGTTTCACTGTCTGCCATATCCAATAACTCGGGAGGTCCTAAATAAGAGGAAAACAAGATGCCATCACAAGTAAGTTCAGAAACTAAAACATTAACAAAAAAATCTGTAGTCACAGAATTAAAACATGTTGGAAAGCTGAATAAAGTAGAGTCATTTGGTGAAAGGGATATTAAGACCACCTCCCCTGCTCCGCCCCCCCCCAAAAGAAAGGATTTCTCTATTCCCACTCACCAACCTCCCAACCGCCACCAATCGATATGTGTGGAATGATACAGCCTATGCTTTTAAAGCAGCTTTCAATCAGGTTGAAGAAATAAAATTAGTCAGAATAGAATAAGTGAGAAATAACTAAGTTATTTGGGGAATGGGGATGCTTCAGTGGGATTTAAGGATTGTTTATCATTCCCCAGAGGCAGGTTGTTTAAGATGGGGTTTTATACAGTATAATTTTAAAACTACAAGATACCAGAGATATCATCCAGTCCAATATCTATGTTTTAGAAACAGAGTAAAATTATATTTTTCATAAAATTTCCCTTCCAAGACCTGGAAGAAATGTTATGCATAAACACCAAATGGTTATAGATGTTTCCTTAGGCACTGAGATGTCTGATGAGTTTGTGCACTGATGATATTCTATTTGTTCACCAACTAAATCATTCAATCTGCAAACAATGCTTGGAATGACCACCTTTCCACCTTCTGCACCACTGATTCCTTCCCCAGCCCTCCTGTACTCTAATCAGTCTGCAGGTATCAGCTGAGACACATTTTCCACAAAGCCCTCTACAACCCCCACTCCAAATACTGCATTAAATGTCCTGCCTATGTGCCCCGTCATTTTGTACGCTAACCGTATGTCCTGTGGTTGGGAGGGTAACATAATTTATCATCCAAATTGAGACTGTCCCAGACAGGTGGGGATATGTAATTACTTTAGTGATCATGACATTTAAACCATAATAAAACCACCTGCGGATTTGTCTCTCTCCATCACTAGACTGTGGTAAACCCCCTTGAAGCTGTGGCCTGTGCCTTGTTCACCACTACATCCTTCCTTGGTGCCTGGCATAGAGCCTGGTACCAAGCAGATGCTTACATGTTTGGTTGAATTAATGAATAAATGTGCTTGGACATGCCAAACACAGTTCTAGGTATTGAGCATTTTAGTCTTTAGAAATATGATCCTGTTGATTTGCTGTCTTGTTGGATATCATTATAATCGAAAATTTGGCTTTTATGATTTCTTATTACATAAAAAGAAGAAAGGGGAGAGATTAGGACTTCCCAACCATGAAAGTCACTGGCCAAGAAGATGACTAAGATGCCATGGTACCTTCACAATCCTCCTGGTCATCCAAGAGCTGCCTCCTCTTTCCCATCTACTGGTCGTCTAGGCCAGCTGAATCTTCCCTTGCACCCTCTGCCCTATTCGTCTCTCCTCTTTGTCCTATTTGACAAATAGGCTTCCTAATTAGTCTCTGCCTAGAGCATAATTAGCATTCAGAAACAGGTACTAAGAAAAATGAAAAGGTCTCTCATCATTCAGATTTCCAATTCAGCATATTGACTGCTTACTCCCAAGTATTCAACCATGAAAGTTTGCAGTCTTTCACCTGGAACTGCCCTTCCTCAATGTGTTCCAGGTTCCGTTTCTTCATATCAGCTGTGCCATCACCCGCCATCACCGGCCTCTCTCCGGGGCTCTCCCAGCTCAGAGAGCTTCTTCCCTCCACTCCCCCAATCCAGAACAGCCTTCCCTTTTCTAGCCGCATACCTAAATCTGACCTGTCCTGTAAAGTCCAGTCTGTGACGAGGTCTCCTGAAACGACCAGCTTTGACAGAGAGACTCTATCCCTTCTCTCAACTCCTTCTCTCGTAACACTTACTTGGTTCCACCCTTGTACTCCGTATTTGCTTTTCACTCATATGCCTTGTCTCCCTAAATGAATTATACTAAATCCCTGCCGTGTAAGAATATTTATTATTTTTCTAGCACCTATCCTACATTAAGGATTCAACAAAGACGTAATGCATTTATTTTTGTTCCTCAGTCTTGTGGTTCTAAGGAAACATGCATGATAATGCCCACAACAAACACCCAAAGAAGTGCAAGGCAGTATCGTGTAGTGATGGGTACTAGAGCTGAACCTCCTTGCTTCAAAATTCTGGCTCTACCTGCCACTTACTGGATCTCGGGCCAGTTCATTTAATCTCTCGGTCTCTTGATTGCCACGTACATTAAAGAAGGATTGATAATATGTATCTCACAGGATTCTTGCGAGGTTTCATAAGTCAATATAAGTTATAAGCTTAAAATGGAAGCTGGCATGCTACATGCAAGTTTAGATTGGAAGTGTCCTATTCTCTGACTTAAGCAGGTTACGCTAAGTGGAGATGTGGAGCATCAGTGGAGGGAGAGGAAATGTACTGGGCTCTGCACTTATCTCCATTCACTTTTGAAGCCACTTGTTGACTCAAATTCTATGTCCTGAGAACCAATACTCCAAACCCCTTCAACTGTTGGCAGGGCATTCTCTACAAGGTCAAGAACAAGGACGCTTACAGTGTCCAGTGGTCCCCAAAGAGAGTGCCTGCCACCTTCAGCCAACCCTTGGAGCCATTCATTTGCACAGGAATTCCATGAATAGGAGCAGCCCAGCCCCACTCCACTCCACTCCAGCAGCTCTGTTCCCACCATTCACTGCTAAGTGCATGCTTATCTGGGCACCAGAGGCCTCACCCCCTTCCCCCTTCATTCAGCACTCAGAGCTGCACCCACGGTGGGTCCACCAACTCCAGGGTCCATGCCGTCATGTAAGTGAGAGGCTGTGGGGCCAGCTACATCGGTGCCAAAGCCGCCATTGTTTGACACGCTGAACATGGGGACAAGGAAGAGAAGGGACCTTGTTCCTCAAGTGTCTTACAAGAATCACCATAAATGCAGCCAACCCAGAGCAATGACAGAGCTGATTAGCCAATTTATGAGTCAGGCATGCCTGTATAGCTGCTTATCACCTTCCCCTTCTCTCCTTTTAATCCTCGGTAGCTGACAGAGGTGAGCAGAAGAGGTGCTGCTCCTAAAATGAGACATTCTTGCTCTTAATTAAAACCTAACAAAACTCCAATTACAGGTTTCAGGAATGGAATGGGCTCTGGAGTGATGGACTTAATTAACCCAAACTTTCCTCATCTGCCCATCAATACATATAATCACCAAAGAGCAGAACGTTTTGAATGCTGTCAGGCAAATCGCCAATGAAGAGGCAAGGGCGGCAGCGAACTGATGATAGGCGGGAGTGCGGAGCTATTTTTAATAGTACAGGTACATTTTCTAGTAATGTTTTAACCTGCTTTAAAATAACTGTGTTCGCATAATACTGGCGAGAGGGGGTTGGAGAGGAGGAAATAAGAAGAGGCCTGAGTGCCAGGTGCAGCCCAAGAACAGGGTGGAGGTTCCCTCCCTTCCAGTGATCTGCTGGGAGCTCCTTCAATAGTATATTGTGCTGTTTAGTAGGGCTCCGTGCGGGTTAGTAGCATTGACTATCCAATCTTACAATCTGGAGAAAGGGGGCATGGCTAGAGAGACAAAAAAATAATCCTCCCAGACCTCACAAATTCTCTTTAAAGGAAAAAGTATTTTAAAAAAATAGCATCTGTGATTTTTGGAAAGTTAATTTGAGTCTCACTGTTAAGGGAGAGCCCAAGAGAAAGAAAAGACGATGGAATTCTTCCAGTTTATATCCATGGTGAATATTTGGATCTAAGGCTTATTGCATATTTTAGGTATGCATATGGTCTGATTGTGGATATCATGCCCTCTCCCTTAGGGAACTGGAATACCATGACTTTGTTAGCAGTGAACTCACATTTATTCCCTGAATATAAAAGCACGTCTTGGTTCTCTGTCCCTCCTAGGGTTTATTACAATGTCCATACTCAGTCCCACAGTTGACCTACACCAGAAAACAACTGTTAAGTCCTGATTGAAGGGACACGTGTGCAAATTTCTCCATGAAACTTGCGATCGATCACTGCCCCTCCACAGCTCTGCACCAGTTGTCACTGGAACCATGCATATAATACTTCTATCGATCTACCCTGCATTGTGATTGTTTATCCGTGTTTCATTGCCCTCACCAGGTTTTAGAACTATGGAGGGCAGAGACCATATACTACATACAAGTCTTGGCAAGTAACCTAACATCACTATGCTTCAGCTGTCTCCACCTGTCAGATGGAGATAAGAGAGCTCACTATGTGGGATTGTTTTAAGAATTACATATGTTAATACATACAAAGCAATTAGAACCATAAACGTTAGCAGTGACTATCACTATAGTATTTTTTCTCCAAAGTTCATGGGGGCAGAATTCATTTTTTTCTAATAAATGAATGAAGACCTTTAAAATCAATGTGGATCCCGGCCAGCATCCTGTTTTTTTCAGAGAAAGATCCATAAAGGTACATGGATTCAAAAGACTGTGCTACATAGGGAAATGGTCCTAAAAATAAGGGGGAAAATGTACTAAGAGGATACACACATCAGTATTCGGGCGAAAGCCAGGGAATGCGAGAGGAAGCCAAACTTCACAGAGCTCCCAAAACGAGAAAGTGAACAGCATGGTTAGGCAGTCAAGCCTTCCAAAGGCAGCGAGTTTGCTGCCCGGTGCTCATTCCACTGGCTCTCCCACTGGACACCCCAGCTTTTGCTGGCGCAACCCCATCGTCAATACTGTCCTTGTATTCTATATGATGTGTCTTTTGTCACGTGCACCCTTTAGTTTGCTTCCCACATCAAGGCATCCAAATCCCCTTTGCTATTCCTTCCACCTCTCCATGGCCTCTCTCTCCCCGGACCTCATTTCCCATTAGTCTCCCAGACGCTGCCAGCAGACCATTCCAAATCCTCCTCTGCCCCAGGACAAAAGCCGCACAGATGTGGGGAGAGCTGGCTCTGGGAACTCTAACAGCACCGTCATCCTGGCCCAGCGGGGTGGTGGTCGTTTCTCTCGGGGACCAGAGGCTGAAAAAGGG